TAATTTACTAGTTTCATTGCAGAATTTATATTCTGTTTGACTAACACAGATTGATTTAAGAACTGGAGTTTAATTATTTAATTAAAATTTAAATCAATACATAAACAGAAATTAAAAGATTTCACATGTAGCCAATTCTGTTAAAAATGGCTTGGTGGATTATTTGATGTTTCAAAAACATCTCCTCCTGTTATAACAAATTAGATTCTTTATTGTTGTATTTATCTGAGCTTAATAGAATGCAAATAAAAAATAAAGATGTATTTATAGACACTTTTAGATTGAAAATGTGTGAGAAAAGTATATTTTTTTCATCCTCACATACAGTATCGTATCAGTAGAATGGATGACATTGTTTTCTTTCAACTTCTGAGGGAGACTGAGAATGTTCAGCCTGTTCTTTGATCATTGTGTTGGTTTATCACAATGAACTCCTTAGAAAGAAAGTCAGCTTTTCATGTTTGAAAATATTGTTAATTCATAAGTGATCAAAGATTTTTTTTTCTTTGAGACAATAGACCTAAGTTCTCACACAAACAACAATAGTCCATACAACTAAAAATTCCTAAAAGAGTTTAAGAGTCATGTTTATTTATTTACCCTGTATAGCACATTTTTTCATACTTCTATAGTTGGAACAAATAAAATAATCTGTAACACTTTCAAATAATGGGACGCTGCCAAGTGACCCAGCTAGTGAAGGTGCTCAATCTGAGTGCAGGTGGAGCCTGTGATCCAGATCTTGCAAATTCAAGCCAAGGGTCAGGTCACTAACCATTAGTGACAGGGCTTCCCCAGGTGGTGACAAGCTATCAGCTCGGAATTACCTGGAGTACGGATAGGATTAGCCAACAAAGCCTGCCTCTGCTCAGAGTGATTCAGCAACCCCCAAAACATCCTGAGCACCAAGGGACTTACAGTACAGCTGCATGCTGAGCTTGTGCATGTTCAAACACCCCTGTAACAGGCTCAATGAGTGAGCCTGTCTACACTGGCTCATTCTCTTGCTGTGATTACAGGTGTTGTGACTCTTCAGATTAGGAATTGCCAGTTCCACATATTAGTACCGCACTTTAGAACCTGTTATATATTAATAGAGTGATGTATTTTATATGGTGTTATTTTCTATGCAAGCATCATGAGTTTTATAAAATATTGTTACCTATGAGCAGCAGTATGTTGAAGTGGTTAGGTCTCTGATAAATAGAAAGATGCTAGTTCAAAGCTCAGAAGGAACATTACAGTTTTACCCTTGAGGAAGATACTTCACTCAGATAGCTTCACTAAGATGCTCAGCTGTATAAATGTGTATAAATGCAAGTTGCTTTGGATCAAAGCATCAGCCAAATAAATTAATAATTATAATGAATTCCTGGCAATTTGCCTACACCGAAATGTTCTGTGTAGCCAGTGTACTGTACGTCACTGCTACAGAAGATTAAAGAGCTAATGATTCATTGCATGGTTATTATCAAAGCTCAGATAGTTATTGTGTATGAATGCTTTGTTAACAGATAATTTAGTATCAATATTCTGTTTGTTATGCATTTATAAAGAGTCATTTGCAGCCTCTAAGCTAAAGTGTTATCCACTAAGTTTTTCCCTTTCCATGTCTCACCACGTCCTGTTTCCAGCATCCACACACTGGCATTGTTTCCTCTCTGCAAGGAAGATCCTATCTTTCTGTCCATCGTAGTGTCCTCCTGGCAGCCAACCGTGGGAGAGCCATAGGCTGCATTGCTCTTCGTGTTCTATTGTCATTCTGTAATCCTTAAAGTAATATTAATAGATATTGAAATAGGGCTATTTTCTAACTCAGCCACTTTAGATAAAGAGTGTTCATTACTACAGAGTTCCTTAAGTTTTTATATGATGTACAATACAGTGTTTGTATCTGGTATTGTGATACCCCTGCTTTTTGTAACTTTAAAAAAATGTACAGGACTTGCTGAGTGCAGGACCCCTGCCTTGATGCTGTCCATTATTGCAGTGATAAATGTCAATGCAATAAAGGAATAGAAATTGCACTACCACTTAACAGATTTCCAGTTACAATTTAAAATTGCACGATTAAGTAAGTCAGAGCAACAGAAAGATGTTATCACCTATTATGTGTCAAAGTGGATGTGCACTTTGCCTTTACTACCTTTGCATGCAGGGAAAGCAGCCTCTGGTAGACAGACGTTCTTTGCATTGTGTAATGCTTTATAAACATCAGAGCAAGTTCCTAGTTCGTCTGTGTGCAAGGACTCCTAGTACATAAAAAGGGGTAATGCTACACCTAATGAGGTAAGTTGACCACACTTCCATTGTTGCCATGACAGTACCGTACTATAGTATCCTAGATATCCTGACTTCCTGAAAATTGAGCTACAGTTCTTTCCCATCTTTAAGACAGCGAGAAAGGTTACAAATGAGAGGAAGTCTGATCTAACTCACTTAGCTTCCTTGTATTAACTATTTAATAGAAGGATTTCGCTTAGCCGTTTCTCGAATAAAGTCGGGGTATCAGCTTCAACAACACGGCTGCACACATTGTTCCAGACTCCCACACACCTATTCTAATGATGAAACCATTCTTTACTTTCATGAAATCCGTTGTGTACCAAATCTCAATGCCAGCTGAAAGAGAGGTGTCCTTTGCCTGCAGCTTTGCAAGCCTGTAGGCACCTAGGAAGCCTCAGGGGTTGTCTGCAGGAGACAAGAAAACTCTGGTCGAATATTCCCAAACCTGCCTTCGGGAGCCCTCTGGAAACCTAGCTGACGTGCGGGTGTCCTTTTCTCATCTTAGGGAAACGTGATCACCATACATTAAGTTTATGTATTGTTTCAGTATGAACCTGAGGAGTATATCCTCTGCCGCTGTAACTAATTTTATTTCCATAGACTGGCTGGTAATGAAGAATATCAAACAATTAAAAATGACCTTTAATTTTTATTCAGTTCACTTTTTCCACAAATTACAGTTCAGCCAAGTGATGTCTTACACTTGTACTGTATGTGATATGCAACATGTGCTCTTGATATGAGTCTTATTATTAAGACCTTTCTTTTGGGTATCATAACCGTTTTAAAAACAGCATATACCCTGAATTCTTAATGTGTTTGATTCTCCACAAACTAACCCACACAATTTGTTTACAGATATTTTCCTTCAAATGTGTGAATTAAGCTTAATTTTATGGAATCACATGTTGTTAACATTCTAATAAGTTAAATTATTAGTTATACATATATAGTATTAGTTACACTTCTTATCAATTATGTATTTTGACTAGGTACGCTACCAGGTTTTGGACAGGACTAGAGCTTTATTGCTGTAATGTCAGAAGAAGAACGTCAGTAACGTCACGAAATATAATTTAAAATATAACTCTTTTTTTTCTGTTGAATTTGTCTAAGCAGGGGCTCACCTGCCATCCTGAGTTCACAACCAGAAGGTTTGGACTGTAGAGCTCAATGTATCCCGTGAACAAACACGTTTAACGCTTGAGCCATGTGAGAGCACTTACAGTACAATGTTTTAAATAGAGGTGTGCAGAAAGTATCGAAGACAATCATTCTACTTTTGAAACCGATGCTGATGACTCCAAAGATCTAATGAAAATGCAGCATGGTCTTAAACGCACATTGCCAGTCAATCTTAACATCTTAGTAGAAGCAAAGAGGTTGAGCTTTTCACACAGCTGTCCGGTTTAGTTTGTGTGGATGTGATAACTGTGTTGCTGATGAGTCGCCATGGAGCTGGGCATTGCAAGCACTACAGGACAGCTGCCCAAAGCTACTGATAAAAAAATCAGTAGCCTTTTCTGAGCTTTTTACATTTGTCTTTTTAGTTTCACTTAAGGACACCACAGTGCTTGGTTACTGTGTAAAGTATACAGAATGAAATATTTGGCTACTCCTACAGTACTGTACGTCTCAGGTTACAAGGTATGTGTACACAGGAATCTGAAAGTGGTAAATTTATAGGATGAAAAATAAAATAGCATTTTGGTAACCAGGTATACTATATGCTGGTTGGTAAGCAAGGGTAGATTTTATTTTCCTAGTAAACAGCAGAAACTGACACCATCTCATTTAAGACTTTGATAAGCCAGTGGTCCGTAGTGTGAGCTACATCCATTAGGCAATACAGGTAAATACACAGGGCTTTGGAAAAAAACAGTACAGGAGATACCAACAAAAAACAGTGATTGAGCATGATATTTCCATACGTGTTATAATTGCAAAGAAATTCCATTAACATATATCTCAAATCATCTTAAGTTGGCTTCAAATATAGAGGCGTTGGTATTGTCCCATGACAAAAGGAAGCTTAATTATTTGATCTCCTATTTACATTATTACTTTCCTTTTTACCGGTAATTGACTTTCTTCTCTTTGCTCTATTTAAATAACGTATCCCAAGGGAAGATGTGTTAAAAAGTAAATTCATAATCCAAAAGAATCCAAAACTTTATAACCACTAGATTTACCAAACGATGATTTTAAATGGTGCTAAATATCAAATGTTCTGTAGTGGCATGTGTTCTGTGAATAGCCTCTAGCAACATGTCACAGACATTGATGGAATCATGTCAGACAGACCATTTTCTCTCAATAATGAGAGAAATGTATAGATTTAAATCATATTTTGAATTTTAGATGCAGTATCCCTTACAATTTTAATGAGGGTAGCGCTTGACAGATTTATTGTACCTAACTCTTCATCTTTATACCATTCCCCAGGCTAAAGGAGAAAGCGTAAAACTTTTATGTTTAACCCATTATTGACCTAAAATTCTGCTTGATCAATATGATCACTTAGAAACTGACTTCATTCACTTTTCGCACTGCTCACACTGCACCCTAAGCCCCTCCTCCACGTCCGCGCTTCTGTGACGTAGCGCAGGTGTGGTCCTCAAGGTGCGCGAGCATTCTAGGGCAAGGTTCTAAAAAGGGTGACGGGGCACCTCGCGTGACGTCACTCACTGGTTACACGGCGCAGGGGCAAAGTGTTTTCTGTTGTTGATGCTTCTTCGGTGGCTGAGGTGCAGTGCATGTCGGAAGATAGTTTTTTAAAGCAGTGTTCATTCTCCGCTCGCCATTTTAATGAATATAGAATTTCATCTCGTCTATACCTGCACAGAAGTAGTGACACACCGCGTTCATCATTCATGTTGAGCAGGCTCGACTCTAAAAGGGCGAAGGAAAACTTTGCAATACCGCTCTCTGTTTATTAAAAGCTTTGTACTACTAAATGCATTGAATGTCGTCTGTCCCCGTACAAAAACGACAGTACGAGGAATACAACGCGTTCATTCAAAATATACTAAACAAGGTAAACTTGCCAATACCTCAAAGCTTTGTACTATTAAATATGTGTGCTATTAAAAAACAATATTCTTTGGTGAGGTGACGAAATAAAAGCTTTACGTCAAAACTTACCAAGAATACATACCGATGAATCTAAAGTAGCATACATTTTTGTTTTTACATGAAATATTATGAGTTTTAAAACTGCAAAAAAAAGTTCATTTTTACGAATACTATAATATTCTTCATGGCCACTTCTCTCCGCTTTGACAGGCTACAACACGAAACGTCACCATTCCGCAAGGTTAATTCCCTTCAGCGGAGTGCGCTCCGGTGCGGACTTCACAGAAGGGCGAATTGTGAGACACAAAGTTAGAAATGGGACACCCTGCGCCCATGCAGACTCCTGTGTGCATACTGGAACACGGCCATAGAAGGTATGTGGAGTTAAAATCAGACTCGATAGCGCCAGAAAGGACCCCCCCCGCACAATGTTTCGTGAAACTTCAACGTGATGAGATGAAAACACGATAATGGCATGTGTTTTCACGCGATCTTGACCGGCATCTATCTGTTGTGAGACACAGTGAAATGGAAGAGTTCAACATTCTTCCAGTCAATCGCTTCCTTCAAAACCTTCATCAAACTGGGGAGCTCCGGGTGTGTCTTATCCTGCACTAGACAGGCAGCTGGGGCCATTCTAAACCGTTGCATCACGATCGCCATCCTGAACTAAAACATTAAAATGTGCACAGCTTACAGTAGTTCAACTGAGAACAAGTCACAGACTAGCCAATAGGCAGATGGCTGTTGTTAAAAGTCGGTTCAAAATAAACCCTGACCCAAACAGGAAAAAAAAAAATGTTTCCAGGTTCACTTCTGTTTACTTTTGTGTTTTATTTCCAGAAGGAAATGTTATTTATATATCTTGTATAAAATACTGTATAGATAAAGACTATAGTCTTTAAGGCCTTTTGGATGTATAAATTGTTACAAACTCCCTTTCATCACCCTCCAGTTCTCCTTCAGAGGCAAAGAGCAATGAACCAGAAGGAGATCTTGGCATGCTTTACGGATCCATCTTCCGAAGACACCACATCACCCTCATCAACTCTAGTATCATTAGCTTAGAATGTAACTCCAACTGCACAGGTCAGCAATCAATAACAAAGCCTCTGGCTATAAAAACTGACACAATTACACATTTGATATTACTGGCAGCTCATCTATCAGTACTGATGTAATGGAGAATATAGCTGACACTGTGGCCACTCCTGCACAGATATTTATTGATGTTTATTGTTTTTGTCTTTATCGTTCTTTCGTTGATCAATTAATGCAACACTAATGTAGCAGAGATGAGCCCTGCTATATGCAGTGCATGATGGCACACAAAAGTGGGAGTATTAAGTAGCACTCTAAATGTTTAGTCAAAACTAGTAGTAGTTAGTCTTGACACCAGCTTGAGCACAATCAATTCATGAAGGTTAAGCAATAACACAATCCACTGGTCAGCGAATACAGATTAAGGTCATAGGGTTTTTTCAGTCTTCCATTAATAATTTTGTTGTAAAGAAAATTGAAAGTCTTCCACGACTACTATTGTTCTAAACAAAGTTGTAAGGCACAAAATGAACAAACTAATGTTTTTGATAGAAGAGAGTTTTTAATACCACTTTATATCCAAACCTCTCCCACTAAATCCCTAAGTGCAATGCACTACTACACTCAGCAAATGACATGAATCTTTATAAGGCCACGTGATATTGCTTTGATCTGATCCTTGCTGTCTGCCTTTTGTATACCACATGATCATATGAGCTGTTGGTCACCTCTGGGAATTTCCAGCCTAATAAATGGTGCAGCTGTCTGATATCTGTTCACTTTGCGCTGATACCTAGACAGATGCTACTGTAGCTGTGAAAAAAACTCCAATACCCTCTTTGAAGACCACACAAGTGCTGTGGGTGGGGAACGTCCCTTCTTCCAACAAAGCAGTCAATATTAATGTAAGCACTTTTGTTACCGCTAGCACAAAAACAGTTTAAAAAACTCACTCTGAAGAAGTGAGAAGGGGCCTTCATTTTAAGAGTGCTCAATCGTCAGTCATCATCAATTCATCAATTGATCTACAGTAGCTGCTTTTTTAAGACAGTGCCGAGCACATTCTGTATGTGTGTACTGTTAGGGCTGCTAAGAAGAGCAATAAAGTTCAGTACAGAGGCTCCATGGGCATAAGAAGGTCATAAACAAAACAGGGAAAGGTTCAGCTGGGTTATCTGGTATCTTACTTGTTTGATTGCCAGTAGTTTATTGATCCAGAGATGTTTCTTTGAAAGTCCATAAGGAATTGGCTGTCTGTTGGGTCCATGGACCCTCCTTCCCCACCCCAGCTCTTTTCTTTTGACCTTGGCAGTCTCTTGCCAAATCAGCTACGCGATTTTAAGCACCTGATTGAAATCTCATCGACTCCATCCTCTGCTGTGTTTGGGGACATGCCAAAATACTCTAGATAATGCTAGTAAGAACATACTGTAGTAGTCCTTGTTAAAAGAAGGGCAAATGTGCATTCTCTTCTTTTTAAAAAAAACATGCCTAGTTTAAAAATAGTTGTGTTTCCTGCCTAAAATGTTTGCTGAAAATATACTGTCCATCCTGGGACTAGCAATTACTTTTGTAAGTCCCAGAGCCATTCCTTCTACTTTTATCTCATATAAATACTAAGTAACTACCATATATGATACTATACAAGTATTGACTAGACCATATAAAACTCTAATGTAAATTTCTTGTGGATTCTGGGAGATTTATTTTATGGTGGATTTTGTGTATTTTGCAAGGTTCTTTCACAAACATTTTTTCTTCCATTGAGAAGGCTTAATCACTGTGCTGTGGGCAAAGGCTTCTTCATTAACTGTTATCATGCTGTATTGATTTGGGGTTGTTTATGAAGGTTGTTGTCCTGTTTGCACGTCTTACAAATGATTTATACGTCTTTTGCTTAATAGCATTTCAATTTCCTTCAATCATGAAACTAAATTGAAGCAAGAACAATGACGCATTACATTTGCTCCCACAAAAAAAAAACTAAATTAAGTAACATAGGTGAACTAAGCAAATCAAGGCATACATGAGTGGACTCAATAAAGCTTCACTGGCATGCTCGCAGTTCCATATACCGTAGGATGTAGTGTGGATGACGGAACCAATTACAACAGCAAAGCCTTTGTCTACTAAGACCTCAGATATAAGATACTTCTGTTCAATTGCCAGAGGTGGATTTCGGCTTCAATGACTTTTTTCTTCAATGTTTTTCACCAGCTATCATAAATTATCATTTAATTAAGTAATGCATTATGCTAAAGGGATATAAATTAATAGGAGACTGAAAGGGTAATAAGACTTGTACTGCATCAAGGCTTTAAGATGTGGGTATCTCCTTTATTTGGTCAATTTATATAATTACCAAGCACCTGCATAAAACAAAATTGTGGAAATTGAAATATTTATGCAGCACCTTTCGAGAATTCCAAGGACCACTCTAACAAACTGCAAACAGCTTAGAAATAATGCATAGCATCATACACATCTAGGTCACATTGAAATGAAAACTTTTTAAACCCACTGTGGCTATCAATGGTAATTATGTGAAACCTGTATTTAAGTGGGAAAACTTACACTGTTCAAATCCACTTAATTTTTAAACGATATGCAAATATTTAGCTGTTTAAATATGTAAGTCTCTCATCGTGATGTTTAACATGCAGACATGTTCACTTTACTTGCAATCAGAATATGTACGTCTTTCGAATGGGCTTGAAGTGGCTTCTGTATTAAACCTTCTGAAGCCATAGAAATTCAAATCAGCTGGAGGCTTGCTTTCACTCTAATAACAGTCCTTGAATTATAGTTATCAATGTCAAGTCATAGAGCGCACAGAATTTATGGATTCTTTGTGCATTATCCTTTCTCAACCCAAAGGCATTTGGAGGGGCTGTTTACACACCAGGTAACAGACCACATAAGCTATTATTTAATCTGTGTGCTAAGGTCACATAAGCCATGCCTTCCAAAGTCATTCTGCTGTGTTATCTCCATATAATAGACACACTAACAAAACAAACGCCAGGCCTAAAAGATTGATTGTAAGTATGGCATTTTTACACATTGTGATTAATTCTGTGACCACAGAGACAAACTTTTATACAGTAGGTCAATAAGTTGTGTTTTTGCATTCTTGTATTCATTTTTTCAGCTCATTTTCTTTTTCATTTTTTAAGTAAGTTTCATTTCTAAACCCCCCCTTTCATATTACACTTAAATGTTAAAAGTTATTCTCTGAGTTCTTAAAGCCTTGCTGAAGGAACTTAGTGTTTGAGGGATTGGAAGTTAAAGTGGGTATGAGAGAAAATGAAGGAAAAGAAAGACTTTTGTTGATCAGATGTCAATGATGCTATTGCACAAGAACAAAGTGTTTTTCACAAAATGTCAAAGCGTAAGATGTAATAACGACAACATATCAGCTGGCATAAATTCAGGAAAACATTGTGCCCTTTCATCTGTTCATCGGCTTACCTTTCTACATTGACAGTTTCATTAACTATGTTTGATGTTTAGTACCAGTGTGAAGGTAAAATTATAAATAGTCCACACCAAGTATCTCCAACCTTGTCCTGAAGAGCACCAATTCATCACCATCAAATCACCAATTTCTAAAGATCTGAAATAATTCCATTGTGATAAATTAAACTGGTGGTTTATTACATTTAGTAATTTAAGTTCATTTAGGACTAAAATATAAGTTCTCTTCAGTCCTCCAGGATCATTCGTCAATCCAACCATTTTCTAATTGCTTTATTTAATACAGGGTAGCGGGGCAGCCGAAGCTACTGTATCTCGGCCAGCACCAGTTGCAAGGCAGGGTACACCCTGTCCAGGGTGCTAGCAATGTTCCCTCTAATTCTTAATGGCCTGTGTGTGCAAAAACTACGAGTTGTGCAAATGTTTTCCCCAGTGACAATATCTTGTGCGCACTGAATTGAGTGTTTGTAAAATTGTAAACCTGAAATTATTTTTTGTTAATATAGTCATTCTCGTAGAGGCATAGAAATCCATCAAAATTTGTGGATGAATCCACTGATTTTGTAATTTTTTGAGCTGATAAAAAGTGTGCAACTCCATAGAATGGCATTCCAAAAACAATTGAATATGATGTGCTCCAAAACGTTGCTATTGTCATTCAAATCATTTATTATGCATTATCATTCGAAAATGTGAAACTGAAGTGTTTGTTCCAAAATCTATTAGGCAAGGCACTGATCATTTAACAGTTTTTAAATTAGTTTTTTTATTCTATTTGTAATATGCGAAACTAGATTTCATAATTCAATATGTGAAACTAGATTTGATCATTCCATCTGATTCTCTCTCAGATTAGTTTGTCTACCTGACTAGGATATTTTTTGCCATATTTTTAGTTAACGTTTGTTTAATGGTCTACATTCTACTTTAAAACCACAGGAGCATCACATGTGTCAGCTAAATTTAGCACATATACTGTATACAAAATTATTTTTTGAAGGTAATTTTCCACTTTTCAGTGCTTCTTTTTAGTTAAATAAATCACTGGCATCAATGAACCTGAACCATAATGGAGTGCCAAGAAGATTTAATGCCAGTAAGCCTCATAAACAAATATTTAGATAAATTTCCATGCAGTGCCGGGAGATGCGCTTATTAAAGTTGACACGCTTCATTACCATTATTTCTACACAATTTAAGACAGAGTTCAAGGCTAATGGGAACTTCCCTTGCATCATATAAACATAAAATACACAAAACCATCTCTGGGGTATAATGTGATCTTCCATTTTTGGGGGGGGGGGGGGGGGGAGTTTCACTAGTTCAGGCAAGTCCTGTATTTAGTGAAAGTGATTTCAAGGTCCTTGGTTTTATCCAGCCTGGCCGAATGGGAGACACCTGGCCATGTGAAAAAGGTGTCTGTCTCCCCGGAGTAAAGGGGAGCCTAGGGGAAGCAGGAATATCAGTGGAATGAGGCTGGCGGAGGACTGCCAAGCAGCAGTCGCAGGAGGAGGAAAGTCTGACTTGTATTTATAGTGATGTGGTAGCAGGCGAATTTGTAGGGGGGAGTG